GCAGCCTCTTATCTGCTGTTCCTGTCCGGCTTGTTCCCTGGGACCACAGCCGTGGGGGGAGGAGGAAGGGACCGATCAGTTCACATCCTTCTTTCCTGGGCTGCTGGGCGCTCAGAGTTCTACCCCTCCCCCTCCCCCCCCCCCTCCGCCCCCGCGTATTCTAGGATGCTCAGGGCGCGGCTCAACCCCATCGCCTGCTGGAGCGGCTAGGTCTTATCTCATGCTGCCTCCGCGTGGCCGAAAATAGGAAGTGCGATCTCAATTGGATTTCCCCTTACCCCTTCCCTTGGAAAACTAAGGCTGAAAGGGAGTGGGGTGCGAGGGGAGACTGCACCCTTCCGACAGACACATACACCTACTAACGTAGGATAATAGGATTTAGAGCTGATGAGAAACTGAGAGAGCCAAGGGAACCCTATTTTTTTACAGAAGGCCCAGAGAGGTTAAGTGATTTGTCCTAAGTAGTTAGCTCAGGGATTCAAAGCCAAGTTCTCTGCACTGTGCACACCGCCTCTGAATTGGTGTTCATGTTTCCAACTTCTCCCCTATCCAATCCGTTACTGAATAAGAAATCTTCCTCACGTCCAGAACGGAGCATCCTTGACTAAAAAGCCCTTCAAAAAACCTTCAGCTGGTTCTCACTTCATACAGGATAAAATGTAAACTCCTTATCATGGCATTCAATGCTTTGCAGTCCTTCCCCACCTCCACCCACTCCCATTTTATCCACACCAGACTATGAACCTGCTCCCTCATTTTTACTTGGTATCTCCATATTCCCTCTGTGGGGGCAATGTACATCCCTTTAATGTACTTCCCTCATCTCTGTCCAGGGAAATTCTCTTCCTTGAAGACTCCACTCAGGTGCCACCTTTTCCCACCGTCTGCCTTCAGCTGAATGTTATCTTGATCCCATCAAATTCCTTAGAGTACCTTCCCTGGATAGCTCCTTTGTCCTTAGTATATTCTATCTTTTATAACAATTACTTGTGTATATGTCATATTAACCCCCCCATACTCATTAAATTGTAAATTCTGTGAAGAGAGGGATGTTATTTTTCAGCCTTGTACCTCCCAGGTGCCTAATGGGTGCTGGCCCAATAAAAATCTCAAACATAAATGGCCCTTTTCCTTCTCTGAATCTTTTTTTGCTCAGACTGTTTCTTCTGCCTATCCTCACCCCTAGCTATACCTGCTGAAATCCTACCTATGCTTCCAGACCTAGCTCAAATGTAAAATCCATTCATTCATTCCACCAGCAACATATATTAAGTACTTCAGGCCAGTGCCTTAAATAGTGGAGATACAAAAGCTAAAAATAATCCCTGCCTTATTATAGAGAGAGGGGGATACAACAGCTGGGAAGAAGCTTAGAGGATTCCTTTGACCTCCCCCTCCCCCCCACACCATTTTACAGATGAGGGAACAGAGGCCAAGAAAGGTTAATGGCATTGACTAGAGTCTAGGCTAGGAAGTATATGAGGCTGGATTTGAACTACAATCTTTCTGGCTAAAAGCCCATTGTGCCACCTAGGAAATGAGTTTAAACAAATGTGATGATGAATAACTGAGGGGGATCCAGAAATGAGTTTCTTAGGAGTGGCTCCCATGCTGAGCCATGAAAAAAGGGAGGGCTTGTAAAAGGCATGGATGAGGAGAGAGCATTCCAGGCATGGGAGACAGACAGGGTGTGCCACAGTGCAGAGGGAATGCTGGCATTTAAGTAGTACTTTAAAGTTTGCAAAGTACTTTACAAATAGTCTCATTTTATCCTCGTACCAAGCAAGGCACTATTATCACTCTCATTTTACAGTTGAGAAAACTGAGGCAGACAGAAGGTAAAGTGGCTTGCCCTGTACCACACAGCTTGTAAGTGTCTGAGGTCAGATTTGAACTCGGGCTCTATTATGCCACTTGTTGTTTAATCTTGTCTGACTTGTGATCCCATTTGGGGTTTTCTTGGCAAGGATACTCAAGCGGTTTGCCACTTCCTTTTCTAGCTCATTTTAGAGATGAGGAAACTGAGGCAAACAGGGTTAAGTGACTTGCCCAGGGTCACACAGCTAGTAAACGTCTGAGATCAAAATTGAACTCAGGTCTTCCTGACTCCAGGCCTGGCACTTTATCCACTGTGCCCCCTAGCTGCCTCATTATGCTGCTTAGCTGGTTCCAAAGCACAATATGGAAGGCTGAAGTCAGAGAATAAATAGCTAGTAAGCCAGTCTAACTGGAATGTAAAACATTCTAGAGGGGAAGTGAAAATGAAAAATAATGTCTGGAGAGGCCAGCTGGATCTCCACCCCTCCCCCAATCACTACAGATTGGCATGCTTTCTCTCTTCTTAGGGCACTTATCAATCATGATAACAGCTAACATTTGTAGAATGATGTAAGGTCTGTAAAATGCTTTATATCACTTGTCTCTTTAGATCTTCATAACCACCCTGTGAGGTAGGTAGCAGCTGTATTATTACCCACATTTTACAATTAAGAAAGTGAGTCACAGATGAAATAACTGCCCAGTTGCATACCTAGGAAATCTCCTCTATTCACGTTAACTAAGTACATCTTTCAGTGTCCCTACTACCAGGGGTTCTTAACCTGGGGTTTGTGAACTTAAATTTTTTTTATGACTGGCATGTGAATTAATTTCCTTTGTAATCCTATGTATTTTATTTTATATGTTTAAAAATGTTATTCTAAGGAATATATAGGCTTCACTAGGTTGACATAAACAAAGTTAAGCACCTTTGTATTATAAGAATCTCCAAGAAGGCAGAGACCCTATCATTCTTCTTGCTGTCTCCTTCCCCTTAGAATGCCCTCCTTTTTATCCTATATGCCCTCCTCCTTTCAGTCTGGACTGAATATCCATCAGTTATTAACATACATTTATTGAACATCTGCTGTTTTTGGCCTATTGTAAGACACTGTGGGGGATCTACAGAAGCTCTCAAGGGACTTGGTCTAGATTTCAAGACAAGACAGAAAGTTAAATGGTAGCAGAAGAGTTGAGCAACAGCACAAGAGATGTTACAAAATGTAACATGCTAAATCTCAAAATGTACCATTTGTACCACATTTGAGGAAGGACTTGGAAAAAATAAAGGTTGAGAAGACTTTCTACCAAGATGGTGACTTAGCAGACTTGGTCACCAGAGACTCTGATGAAACAACTGCAGATGTTTAATATGAAAAGTGAAGACTTAAGGGAGGGATGATAAGTGTCTTCAATATATTTGAAGGGCTGTCCTTGGGAAGAGGGACTTATCTAAACCAAAGGGCAGAGCCAGGAATAATGGGGAGAAGTCATGGAGAGGCAGATTTAGGTTGGGTGACCCTGTGCAAGTCACTGAAGCTCCAAGCATCTCAGGCAACTGTTTGGATCGACTAAGTCCAAGAGAAGCAGCATTGATTCTGAAGTCAGAGGATCTGGGTTCAAATCTCATCTTTGATGCTTACTGCCTTTGTGACCAAAGGCAAGTCCCCTTGACCTCTTTAATTTTCAGTTTCCAAAGCTGTAAAATGCTTGGTTTGAACTAAATGGCTTCTGAGGTCACCTCCAGCTCTAGATCTTTGAAATAAAAGGCTTAGCACAGTCACCGGCACATAGCAGGGACTTTGACAAATGCTTGTTTCCTTCCCCCCTCTCCCCGAGATTTTTGAAGTTTGCATTGGTGAAGGGGTTCCCACAACGGTAATTTCTCATGCTGATGAAATCAACTGTCTTTTGCCTATATAGAACACTGTTCTAACAATCAGAACTGTCCAAAAGGTGAAGGGGCTGCCTTGAAAAGTAATGAATTTTTCACCACTGGAGATCTCTTAGCAGAGGATGGACGGTCGACCATTTTAAAGAGGATACGGTTATATCTCTTGCAGCTCTGTGACCCTTGACTTTTTAAACCTAGGGACTCCTAAGCCAGATGAAACGGGATGGGAAGGGTGGGGGGAGGGGGGGAGGAGGGGAGACGGAAAGAAAAACCACGATTCAGAGCGCTGCCAAGGGGCGGCAGAATAGAGCAGGCGCTGAACTGCGATTTCCACCGCGGCCACAGGGCGGCGTCCAGGAGCGGCTCGACTCCTTCAAGTCCAGGGGCCAGCCGAGGTTTCCGGGGACAGCAACTCTGGTCCCAGCCCACGCGGAGTTAACCGGAAGATATAACCCCAACCCTTGGAGGGGAAGAGCGGGTGCCACGGAGCCTGTTCGCCCCTCCGCAAAAAGGGAGGGGTCAAGTGCCATCCGAGCCCAAGCTACAATCTGAGGCAGGGGCTCCAACCAGTCCCCAGCCTACTCCTGGGGCTGGGAAAAGAGACCAGGACACGTGATAGGCCTGGTTCCCGCAGGGTAGACTGGGAATCGTAGTCTTTTCTAGGCCAGCGCTGGAAGGGACCTTGGAGGTCATTAAGTGCAACATTAGGTGGATAGGTTAAGGGCTATTTAATTCAAATTTTTGCAGAGGAAGAAACCGAGGCCGAAAGAGGCTAAGACTCGGAATTAACTAGTCCAACCCCTTTATTTCCCAGTGGGGAAAAGGGGTCCAGGAGGGAGGAATGGGACTTTCCCAGGGTGACGCAGCGAGTTAGTAGCAGACTCAAAATTCGAACTCGGGTCCTGTTCCTCTCAATCCAGGGAACCTTCTATTAGATCTGGCCCCGGCCTTTTTTCGAAAGAGATCATTTCAGGGCTATAACGTGCTCCTCTCTCCTGCATCCCTTTCTGAAGCCCTGTTTTATGATCTCGCAGCTGACCGCACTGGCCAGCTTAAGGACCGCGAGCCGATCAATCAACTTTGTGGCTAGATTTCCCGTTTCCGGAAGTGTACGGGCGCGGGTGCTTCCGTTTGCCTTCCAGTGCGCGATTGAGCATGCGCTACCTCCCGCCCTCCCCCGCCAGGCATGTGTACCACTCCCTTTCAATCCCTCGGTAGTTCGCCCGCCCCTATCCCCACCCCTTCCCCCTCGCCGGAGTTGCGGAGCTTCCTCGACGGGAAGGACGCGGTACTTAAACCCACACAGCTCAGACCGAGGCACCTCTAAATTCTTTTCTGTTTATTAAATCCAAACGGAGCAATCTTTCCATTCTCGCGGGAGTCGTCACGTTCCAGTCTTCCCTGCCTATGCTGCCTGCGGGTTAGAGGGCTGGAGAAGAATCCGCGTCCTTCTCCCACCCCTACCCCATTTCCCCATAGCCAAAACCGAGGGCGACCAAGGGCTCAGGGCCCGGGAGCCACAGGCCAGCCAGGGGGACCCGTGGCTGTACTTGGGGCTCGCCCTGCGCTCCCTGCCTGGCCCGTGAGAATCTGTACCAGCAAATCGGTGGCCAGGGTGTGCGACGGCTCTTCAAAGCCAATGGTCAGCAGCTGCTGGTATTCCCCCGGGGGCTGAGGGCACAGGATCCTGGTGGGAGGGGGAGGGGCACATTTCCAATTTGTTTGAGGCAGCCCAGAGGAAATCGTGAGAATAGCGGGGATGGAGCTCTGAGCCTTTCCCTGCACCACCTGCCTCCCTCGATTGTGCCTGGGGCCCAAGAGTTGCGGATGGACATGCTGGGAGGAAAAAAGGAACCTCGCTCCACCAATTTTTTGAAGGGGGTAGAAATTACAAAGTATTTAGGAAAGCCAATCACCCCCCTCCCCCTTCTTTTTTCTTGAGGGGAAAACTCTGGAGATTAAGTGTTTGGAGATAGGGCCAGATCTCCAAGCCCGCCCCACTTCCTTACCAGGAATAGATATCCGAGGAGCCGTCTTGGCCTGGGCCCAGGGGCAGCCAGCGGCCAATGGACCAGAGCTTTTGAATCTGGGCACAAGAGTTAGCAGGACTCTTGCCCGTGTCCTCCCAAGTATCTCGATAGCACAGGAAGTAGCTGCGGGAAAGGGAAGGAAGGGGTAGGATGGTAGATTCTGACAGTATTTACAGTCTGGTCACTGGGTGTTTTTTTTGGTTCGGGGAGGAGGGAATCGGAGGGGACTTTATCAGAGGGTGAAGTATTTGTAAAGAGGGACTTTAGCAAATAACAACAGCTTCACTAGCACTTTTAGGATTTACAAAAAGCATTCCCCACCAGGATTCTGAGTGAGCCGGTACAAGCATTATTATTCACGTTTTATAGGTTGGAAAACTTGAGCTTGGAAGGCTAATTACTTGGCTCACAGTCATACGACTTTTAAGTCCTGGGTAGTATAAATGGTTTTTCCCCTATTTTAAAGACTGTGAAAATGAGGCCCAGAAAACGGAAGTGATTTCTCTATGTAGTGTCCGAGTTAGAAATTGAAGCCAGGTCTCCTTGATTCCAAATCCAGGGCTCAGGCCACCTTTTGGTGGAGGAGGAATACCTGCTTTGCTTAGGGTTTTCTCTAGGGGCAGCCTTGACCAGGGAGACTGATTGGGATTTTCATTAGGAGTGAGAAGTAGTTTTGGGCTTTGATTTGGAGGTCTTTTTCTGATGGTAGAAATTTTTAAATGGTAGTGATGGGTGCATTGAGTCAGGACGACTCACTATTCTACATGAGGCCCATGTCCCCTGTTGCTGTTCTCAGCACTAGCTTCTAGATTCCAGCGCATCTTCTTGTACAGGTATCTGGGAAGTCGGCCAGCTGTATAAGGGGCTGGAGAGCAGTATCGGAAAACTGAAACTTGATGGGAGGGGCCCAGTGAGAATTTTCCGCAGAAAAAACAGGAGACACTGATTGGGAGGTGAGAAAGGAGAGCTAGGATTATAGGTCTTTACAGTGATCTAGTCCAAACCCCCCCCCCCCCAAGACCATAGACTTAGGAGGTTAAATAACTTGCATGAGACCATAGATTGGAGTAATGAATAGTAGGGTTAGAATTTGAACCCAGGCTCTGTCTCTCAATCCAGTGCTTTTCTGTTTTTTATTTTTTGTTTTTCTGATGGAGCAGAGCTCACCAAAAGTGCTTTCCCTTAAACAACCCTAGAAAGAAAGTAGTACAAGTATCTCCATTTTACACAAGAAACATGTATAGTGATTTGCCCAGCTAGCAAGTGTGAGGGCCTATATTCCAAAAGGCTGATAGTGAATTCTCAATCACCTGAAGTGTCCGAGCAGAGGACAGATGGCTCAGAGGCTGGAGGATCCAAGGGGACTGGTTGGAAGTCGCCTCCAGGGACCTTCTTAGTTCAGAGATTTATGAGGTGGGAGAGTCAAGGGGGGCAGGGGGGGAGTACCTAGGACCATATTCTAGGACCTAGACCCAGACTTCCTTATTTCTGTCCCCCTTCCCCCAACCCAGTTACCTGAGGGGATCTGTCTCTTCCAGTGCCACAAACCCAAAGGAGGCATACATAAGCACCAGTTGTTCCAGCCTAAGGGCCAGCTGTTGAGAGATTTCTAGCAGCTGGAAGGAGAGGACAGTACATATCAACCCAGATGTGGCTCCTCCCAGCTGCAGAGGGAGGCAGTTCCCCACCCCATGCTCAAGCTCCTGAACCTCACTTTTGTCCAGGAGCTAGGATCCAAGGGCCCGGATCCAGCTTCCCCTCTGCTGACTCACCTTTTTCCGAACCAGCTCTTGCAGGGCCCCATGAATTGGGGGCATGCCCCTGGCAGCAGACTCCAGGTACAGGAAGTAAGGCTGGCACATCTGCAGGAAAGTTGGCATCGCCTTGGCCAACTGCTCCTTCTGGACCCGGTCCCTGCTGGGGAGGGGCACAGCCCCATTTGGTCATGGGAGGGGAGCTGCAGCTTGGGCTTCCACCTCACCTGTTCCACCCACAGCACCCATCCCCCCCTCCTGCACCCTAGGATGGCCAGGCAGCCTGGCCCCATCACCTGTAGAGCAGGTAGCTCTGGAAATCCTCTGCTTTCTTGAGCAGGTAGCGGAGCTGCTCCGTGATGGGGCTGAACATACTCTCCAGGGGCAGTAGGGCAGGGCCGGGGGTGGGGGTCGGAGGCGGGCCAGGTAACGGGGCTGGAGCCAGAGGCTCAGCATCGGCCGGAGCCCCTCCTCGGCCAGGGGCCACAGGCCAAGGGGACTCGGCACGGCTGTGCGGGGTGGGGGCCGGTCCGGGGACCGAGTATCCTGCTGGGAGGGGGTCTCGGACACCGGTAGGCAGAGACCCCCCGAACCACGGCTCGCTGGCCATGGACGTGATTGGGGGAGCCACACTGGGCCCTCCTCCCCCGGTGGGGATTCCCCACCCGGGTTTTCGGAACAGCAGGCTACCGAGCTTTCTAGTCGCCGACACCGACTCCCACCTCTACGGAAGGGAAGCCGGGCCTCATTTGAATGTCAACACGCACCAGGTCAGGGTCGAGCTTCTCTCCCAGTGGCCACGCGCCTCGGGCTAGCGCGCTCCAAGCTCCAAGTTCAGGTTCACAATTTATACCCACCCTGTCTCACTCTCCTATGACAGAACGAGTGCGCCTCCGACGTCCAATTCTTTCAAAAGAGCTACCTCCATCCTCAAAATTTCCCTGGGGATTGGCAGGATGTACTCTCATGTTAGAGCAGGAAACAGGCCCAGGGAGGGGAGCAATTTAGAAACATACATAAAACGCCCAAGCTGGAAAGGACCCTTAGCCGTGACCAAGGCAGATGGACCTCAATTTACCTCGAGGGGTAATGACATCATAGTCCATAGCTGGAGGGAGGGCTTAGATCACTTAATTCAACCTCCTTTATTTTACAGATTACTGACATCTTGGACTAGAAACTGCCTTCCCCAGAGTCACAGTTAGGGAAAAGGACTAGGAGGTCTCCAAGGCTTCTTTCTGCTCTACATCCTAGTAACGGTGTGGTGGGAAGGAACATTGGATTTGGAGGCAGAAGTGATAAGAGCTAGAATTTACTGAGCACTGTTAAAAGGTTGGCAAAGTGCTTTACATATGTTAACTCATTCGATCCTGGTCAGGACTTCCTCTACCTCTTCCTGAGACTCAGTTTCCTCTTTTCTAAATGAAAAGGGTGGAGATTTAAGGTACCCTCTAGGGCTACAGCCTATGATCTGATTAATGACCTCTCACTTTTTCCATAAGGACGGAATCTATAAGGATGGGAATCTCCCTGCTCAACCCACTTCACCCTGCCACCCTATATCAGGCAGGTGCATGAACACACACACACACACACACACACACACACACGAATTTTCTTTTAATTTTATTTAAAAAACCTCAGGTGCAATATTAAAAAGCAACTTGGACAGCCAGAGCAACAACCAGAAAGAAAGAAAGAAAGAAAGAAAGAGAGAGAGAGAGACAGAGAGAGAGAGAGAGAGAGAGGAAGGAAACAGGACAACCCACCATTTCAACCCTGGGAATCTCCAAACTGACCAAGGCTGGAAGGAAAGGCATTGGGAAGAGGGGAAGGGGGGGGCATGTAAGAGGGAAAGGCCAGTCCAGTCCTGTCCTTACTTCCTCAGGGTGAAACATTTACAAAGGTGAAGTCTGGCTGAATCAGGGAAAAGGGCTGGGGAAAAGGCATTCCTTCCCCTTGGCAGGAGTCTAGTGGTGGGGGGAGCACTGGGGTCCCCTCCTGGTATGATGCAGGATTCTGCATCTGCCCCTGCCATCACCCCCAGCTTGGAATGCAGGATGTGGATAGAAGAAAAATACCTACAGTTAAGGGAGAGGGAGTTGGGAAGGGTGACAATGAGGCGCCAGCCTCCCTGGAATCTCTTTGGGGAGTGTGTTGGGAAGAGGGTTTTCTCCCCTTTAGGGAGTTCCTGGATGCTAGGGACTCTTAGGCAGATGGGACACAAGGGAACTGGGGAAAAGGAGAGGGGTAAGGGAAGCTCAGGGGTCACAGAGAGGCTGGGGCTCAGCCAAGAAACCCGTCAGGGTCATCGTCTTCAAAGTGGCCCTGCTGAAGGACCTTGATGTGATGCTCATAGATTTTGAGGGCTGGCCCCAAGCGGATGGAGAGGCCAGTTAGCACGTCCGTGCGCTGCATCAGCAGAAGGGACTTCCCATCAATTTCCTGGGCAAGGAAAGAAGGAGGGCTCACTTGGGTCAGGCCTGGGACTCCCTGCAATCCCTTCACATGGCATTCTTCCAGTTCATAGTGGGGGGGTCTCATCTTGGTCAGTTCCACCGTGTGTGTGTGTGTGTGTGTGTGTGTGTGTGTGTGTGTGTGTGTGACACACAAGATGGAGGGGCAAGGGACCCAGGGGAAGGGAGCAAGGAACCCCTGGGGTGGGGTGCTGGCTCCAGCAGGATGGAGGTCTCACCTGTTCCTGGAAAGCAGAAGCCTGTTCAGGGAAGCCAGCTTCAGTGAAATACTCTACCACATCCATCACTGTCCACTCCACAGGATCAGATGGCTTTTCCTTCCTGCCAGAGCTATGTATGCCCAAACAGACCGTTACATTATCATCATCCTATGTAACACTTGCCAAACATTTAACATGTGAAAATGCTTTGCAAATGATCATCTCATTTCATCCTTACACCAGCCTCCTTCAGCAGATAGGGGTGGGACGGGACAAGGATTACAACCCCTATTTCAGAGGAAACTGAGGCCCAGAGGGGAAAGGTTAGGTGGTCATAAAATCTGGGTCTGATGTTTGTTAAATTAAACAAAAGTTGACTGTGCTCAGCCCTGAGGATGAACAGGTGATATGTCACTGCCCTTTAGGGGTCTTACCACTGCTCACAATCTTGTGAGGTAATTATACCCATTTTATAGAAGAGGAAACTGAGGCCCAGAGAGATTGTGACATGTCCATATTCACATACCTTTGAAGTGCTCAGAAACTAACAGGACCAAGTCTAAAATTCTACCTATAAAGCCCTTATGTCGTCTCTCTATTTGACTCCCACTGACCAGCCATGGCCCCAACTCAACATCAGGCCCAGCCTCAAGAGACAAAAAAAATTCCCTGACTTACGAGCAACCGAAAGGAGTTCCATCAGCACTGGGCAAGGCTGGCTTTCCGGGGGGCAAAGGCACTGGTGAAGGGGAATCTGGACCTGTGGCAGCTGAAGCTAGGAGCAAAAAGGGCATACTTGTCAGCTTATCTATCCTTCTACCTATCCTCCCTCCCTCCCCAGACATATTCCAGTACCAAAGAGAGCCCCTCTGAATTCCTTTTCCTCTAAATCTACCTTGTTTCCGAGGTGACCCCACCCACTTTTAGAAAGTAGAGTAGCTTGCCTGCTGCTCTATCACAAGGGGAACCGCAGCTTCTGGAACCTTTCTTACCTGAACCCCCTTCCATCTTCACCACTCCCATTGGGAAGGCCTCCCGGGTTCCATCTGCTAGGGCTGAACGGTGACCCTCATCCTGTCGCCCTGGTGCTATGGAGGAGCTCCACTCCCTGGGCCGATCTTTCCCACCTTCCCGCTGGCCAGTCTCTCCATTGTACTGATTCTGCCCACCGTGGGCACCCTCTCCCTCAGGCACCTCTGAACCCTCTGACAGAGCAGACACCTCTTCTTCATCCTCTTCTTCTTCCTCCTCTCTGAGGGACTCTTCCTCAGACTTCTATGGGAAATGAGGAGAGTTGGAATGTTTTTCCCAATCTTTTCCCATTCATCTCCATTCCCTAGGTGTCCTCATTCTATCTGTTATACTTGAAAGAAGGGGGCTGTCCAGACTTCTGGGTCCAAAGTTGACTTCTGTCCTTGTCTTTACCATGTTCCAGGAAATTAACTCCTGGGAACCCTGATGTGACACCTTTCTCCAGGTCCCAAACCAGACTGTCCCCAGGGCTTCTGGACTGTTTCTGAAGTGGGGGGGGGGCAGCTCACTTTCTCACCCTTCTCTTCAAGACTCGATGACCCCATGACCTGGCCTTCTGGGCCCTTAGCCCCAACCCCCTCCTTTCTATCCTTGGCTGAGGAGGAGCTTAGAGATTCTAAGCTCTTACTGGCCAGGGACCTCTAGTCCTTATAAACACCCTTGCTCTCTCCACCAGGACTTATCTCATCCATCCTTTGCCTCCTCCCTGATCCCCCCTCCCCAGGGCAGTCTCCCCTCCAGTCCTGCTTCCAACCTCGGCCACCCAGGAATCCTGTGCTGATGTCCCCCTCCCTATACAGGACTTTCATCTCCAGCCCTAGTCTTACCTTGGTTCGGGCTGCTCTGGAACTGGTGGCAGGAGGCGCCCTTCCCGAACGATCGTTGCGGGGCAGGGCAAGACCGGCGATGCGGGTGCGCTCGAGTCGGCCTCGGGCGGCCGCCGCCTCCTCCTCCAGCAGCAGCCCCTGCACGCGCCCGCGGGTCAGTCGGCCTCCACCGCTGCCGCTGCCCCCGAGGTAGCGCACCACTTCCCGCAGGCTTACGGGCCGGGCTGGTCCGCTCCGAGACGCGCCCCCCTCCGGCGGCAGCGGCAGCGGCAGCGGCGACGGCGGCGCCGGCTCCCGGGCGGCGGCCCCGGCAGGCGGGGGGGCACGGCGCGGTCCGGGTG